TTACAAATGAAGAGATATCTATTATAGAGTTAAAATTGTAACAAAATATTTTGTGCTCCATAATTTTACACAAGAACATATTTTATGCCATGACATATTTATTGTTAAAACATTAAATTTTATCAGGAAAAAATGCCGGAATCCATTTCTTGTCACGACGTAAAAGCTGAACACATTTTTTGCATATTTTTTTTTCGTAATTCAATCTTATACTGAATTTCCACTAGGCATGAAATGCCAAATTTTTTAATGCCAATTTTGAAAACTAAACAATACGGCACGGGTATTCACGGGTACGTTCATAAAAATAGTCATAATGTCTGTTACCGCATGGCATCTTTTAAATGGCATACATTTTTTTCATTTAAATGCTTAGTGCAAATACGGCATTACTGTTTTTTTTTAAGATAGTCAATCCTTGTTTGTAGGTGATTTTCTGAATTTAATTGCAGTAAATATAGTTGAGATCAACAGCTTCTTTCAATATATTTAAGGTCACCACATAATTTATGTCAATACATTTCTTAAAGAAAAACCTCTTTATTAATATGCCTTCGTAAAAAGTTTCTTCAATGATTTTATTTCCAGGCAGATTTTAGGTCATCAACATAAAAAGCAGCATGCAAGCAGTAGCCGAAAATACATAATCAACCCATACATTGCATATGACAAAAAAAATCCAAGAAAACCTTTCCAAGTACGCACAGACTGTAACCACCACAGTCATTGATTAATTGATGGAAAAAGTGCGCTCTCCCTACTCAATCAATTTACTCAAGAGGAGTTCCACTATCATAAATGCATAACTTGTTCACTATTCAATGAAAAGAAATTTCTACTTTGCTTATCTAAAATCAATTTCCTACCTCCAGTGACGCAAGCATGCTTTCCAAAATGTGTGTTAACTTAGAAAATCTGCCAAAACCATCCATAAATGCAATGTCGATATTTAATTAAAACCAAAAATTTATTGCCTTTACCTACTTTGATTTAACGCCCCTATTGACCTCCTCTTTTGATTTCAAATTACCGCATATTTCGTAAATCAACCAACCCACAAATTTATTTATCGCATTTTTGTGCAACTGCTATTTCCATATACTGATCGTGCATATTTACAGTTTTATATCAATAAAAACACATGCATGTGTATATACTTTGGCAAAATGCAATCAGCCATAAAACCACCAAATAAGAACCATTGGCATGTTATGGGCGTGCATGGTGAAGAATTTTGCTTACTACCAGCCATAAAGGAGTTCTTTCGCTCACCTCTCATACTTGGCAAATACATACATACATATACATGTGAAAGAAAATTAAGAAAATAAAACAACAACCAACACAAAAATGGTCAAATAATGTACAGAAGGTCAGTTGGATTATTTACGAGTGTTTACGTTTCGAGTTACGTATACGCCCTGTACGAACCCCTGGCGCACGTTGCTGCAAGAGTTGGAACTGTTTGCAGCTGCAGCAGCGGATATAAAGGATAACTAGCAAGCAGTAAATACTAGTTGTACAGACATATAATTGTGCATACTTATGCCTTATGTATGTTTGTGTGTATGGGGTGGCACCTGCAGATACAAATTTAAAATTCAAACTTGCAAGCAAACAAATATGTACTCATACACAAGCATTAATTGAACTGCTATGTTATGCATGTATGTATGTATGACTGTTGGTGTATCTGTTTGCCGAGAATTGTTAATGTTGGCGAGATGCGACCGTGACCTTTTTAATTTTTCTTCTCCACTTTTCATTGCTTTTAATCTTTCCAGGCTTTATTAAGTTTTAATTGAAATTTCACAAATTGATAGAAAAATTTGATTAAATCGGAAAAGAATTTTTTAAGTCATATATACAACTGTATCTAATATATACATAGGCGAACATGTTTTCTTTACACCCCTTTTACGGCTAAAATGTAGTTCTAAGGTATAAAGATTTATATATCATTCGAAAGGTATTTTGATGCTGATTAGTTTAACATAAGCGAAAAAATCAATTCAAAAGTGACACCAATCCTAATGCCATACATGTACATGGTTCGAGCGGAAATGCCTCCTAAATGTATGCTTTAATATTGATACTGAACTAAAGAAATGTGCTTAGCAGCAGTTTAGGAATAAGATTTATGTATGAATATGAATAGATTAAGACTCTTACAAGGAAGGAGGTAAATTTGAGTATGTAGAAGAAGAAAGTGATAAAGCAAAGATTAAAATAAAGAAACCAAGACAAAAAAGGCAATGAGGAAGGTAAATTTAAATACTTAGCAAAGATGTGGGTGAATATGCATATCAAGAGAAGGATAAAGATAAAGATCTGGTTAAAAGTCAAGGAAATGATAAATATAAAAATAAAAAAATGAAAAAAGAGACAGAAAATAAAAGAGATAAAGGTAGAGACAAAAGAGAGAACAAGATAAAATTGAAGAATGACATGTTATGTTGTGTTGTGTTGTGTTGTGTTGTGTTGTATTGTGTTGTGTTGTGTTGTGTTGTGTTGTGTTGTGTTGTGTTGTGTT